ATTATTGTTATTTATAATTTATACAATTAACCTCCTTATGGTTCGACCCTAGTCTTATCGGGTTATTTATTACTTCAACACTCCTACACTTAAGAGAAGACATAAATCTTTTGATCATGTCACTTATCCTAACACCATTAGTGAAACCTTTTCACCTTGACATAATAAACTTAATTAAACATAATAAACAAAAGAAACATAAATAAACAAAAGAAGAACATGATTATATAAGTATAGTAAAGGAAATGAAACGCGTAAACAAGAGATTAATAAAAATAAAACTTAAGCATCATAAAAATATAAAGAAAGAGAACAAGAACATGATCTTGATCTGAAAACCAAGATGCCTAAATGCATGGCAAACATCTTTTTTTTATAGGCCAAAATTCGAAACTATTGATTTGATGACTAATTATTGAGTGGACGACTACCTTTTGATTTGGTAACAATCCTTATCTTTTTGTATGCCAAAAAGGTCATTGTTAATGTCAGAATTTGAACATATAATCCTTATGAAAGTTCTGGAAAATTATCTCAGCTTTCCAATAAAAACACAATTGGTGCATTTGGACTTTTAGAACTTAAGATATGGGCTAAACACTAAATAGCGTCTGGTCTGCAGGACAGATTCTAACTTCTCTTTTGATGCTAAGATTTGTACTTCCAAACGGCAAAATTGAGCCTTGGACTCTGCATGAATGTTTTAGGTCTATGTCTTAGCTCTCTAGCCATATAAACCAAACTAAAATCCAAGATTTACAGCTCCAGATATAATCCAATGCCTTAACTGTGTTCTAGTTTGAATTGAATATGCATTTCTTTTCTAAGCTTATCTTTTTTTTTTTATCTTTTTATTTTGAATATCAATCAATCCTTTGAATTATGAGATATACCTGCATTTAAAATGAGCATTTACCATAAATTAAAGCTATCTTATATTATCAGACTTGTTATTATAAAACATGCTTAAGTTAAGAAATTTAATGATACTTTTAGTGCAAAATAATAATATAAATCCTTGATAAAAATATATTTTTAAGTACAAATTAGAAACTTCAAGAAAAAATGGGTTGTATGCTAAATCAAGTAAGTGTGAGTTTTGGTTGAATGAGGTAGTGTTCCTAGGATATGTGAAATTCAAAATGGGTATTTATGTGGATCTTAAAAAGGTAGAAGCAGTGTTAAAGTGGAAAAGGCCTATGAACATTACTAAAATTCATAGTTTTTTAAGGTTAGCCTAAAACAAATCTTACCATTTGTTTTGGGTATCCAACATGGATACCATTAACCAAAATTAATCTTATCATTTATTCTCAGCTATCCAACATGGATACCGTTAGTTAAAGTTAATCTCATCATTTGTTCCTAGTTATCCAACATGGATACTATTAGCTTAAGTCGTTTTATTATTTATTCCCAAATATCCGAATTATGGATATCCTTAACTTAAGTTAATCTTGACATTCTTGATTACTCATGGTTAATTAAATAACATAATTCACACAATAATACATTATTAAAAATATACTTATGAATTTAAAAAAATTAGATAAAGGTTTAAATAACCTACCTGACCTCCCTATAGTATGTCCTCGCCTAGTCGAAGATGATTTATATTGTACATCCTAGTTCGTAAAAAGACCATTACTTATTAGGCATCATTAAATATTATTTTCATACACATATATGCGTACACTAGCACATATAAAAATATATTTATATTTATGTATATTATTCATATATATGCACAGTAGTAATATTATAATAAAACATTCATTCCAACTATATTGAAAATTATCTATGAAAACTAAGTCGTTATGATGCTAAAAATCATCAATGGAAACTAAGTCATTACAGCACTGAAAATCATCAATGAAATTTGAGTTATTACGACAATGGAAGTTGCTAATGAAAATTGAGTTATTATGACATTGAAAATCATCAATGAAATTTGAGTCATTATTACACTGAAAGTTGTCAATGAAACTTGAGTTATTATGATATTGAAAATCATCAACAAAATCTGAGTCATTACTACACTAAAAGTTATCAATAAAAATTGAGTTATTATGACACTGAAAATTATAAAAGAAAATTAAGTTATTACAATACTAAAAATCATTAATGGGAACTTAGGGTGATATTATCTTTTATTTTGTATAATCAGTCTTATCACACCTAAATATCATGGCGACTGATTAAAAATTAATCTCACAATTGAAAAAGAACAGATATTTGACATCTTATTCTTTTAGGAAAAAAGGTCTTATTCGAGGAGTCACCACCTAATATTATGGTCACTGGGAACCCTAACTAGTCAACAAAGATTATATAGTATGTGACTAGTAACAAAAGGAAGATGTTATCATCCTTTATGTATTTTACCCGAGTTAGGCTGCATTACTGGTTTTGTCTAAAATTGCTAAAGGTTTGTTTGTATTCTGTTCTCATCGTCATCCTGTAATATTCCTGACTCTAGCATCAATGAATATTCACCTAATGAATATTTCCAACTTCGGTGTTGGTAAATATTATGTAATCCAAAAAATAATTCTGTTCTCATCGTCATCCTGTAATATTCCTGACTCTAGCATCAATGAATATTCACCTAATGAATATTTCCAACTTCGGTGTTGGTAAATATTATGTAATCCAAAAAATATGGTATAATTTCTAACTCTAACGCCAGTGAATAAATCCACAAAAAATCTGGATAAAAGAGAAAAAACTATTTTTCATTTTTTATTTTATTTTGGGTGGGTTTGACCCAAGCTGCATGGGTGGGTGGGCCCAACCTCCCCAGTCTGGTTATTGGCTTAAGCCAATGACCCTGTTAAGTAGGAGGTGTGCATGATAAAGTACGCCGACTACAGAA